AATGCAACCTTAGAAAGGGTCAAGAATGGGAAAAAAAAAATTATGTTGATGTGAAACTTCACAATAGATATGTATTGTATTGATAAAGTCTAACACTAGAATGTTTGCAATCAATGTCAACTGGAGGCAAACTCAGTAAGACTAGGATAAGCCATTATTTTTTTTATATGATTTACATTGCAATTTGCAAGCATTACCGGCATAGAAATTGTTGAAAGTCATCTTTGCATCCCAAACTGAGCTGGTTTTCCATAGATAACGCTATCAACTTGAGGGTTGATACTCCCATTTATTTGATAAAGGAAGTTGATTTCTAGCTTGATCACAATTATATAATCACGAAATTTCCAGACATGATGATGGCCGCATGTTCAAACCGAACTTGGGTGCCACTATTTTATGAGAAATGCCTTTTCTTTTCCTTGAAACTTTATTCATTTTGATTTTAGATTTGATGCTTGCCTGTTAGACGGTCGCATCACTTGCAGGATGTAGTTAGTTTGTTTTGGATTAGTACCAGTTGGGCCTTCGACCCTGTTGGAGAAAATGATAAATTGGGCCTGGAAAGGAACACCATCCACGTAATTCTCCATTAGTGCGAGACAATCCTTATCCCGGGCATGGGTACTAAGTAACCAGTGCCCAAACAGACCCATATGAAATTCCAGGAAACCGAGCGTTCAAAACATTGATTTTCCCAGAAAATATTTTTGCGGAGAGAAAAAGCTCAAATTCTCTCATCCGAGAGAGAAAAAGAGACGAGGAGAGGGGATGGGGAGAGGAGCTAAAGCAATAACTTCAATTCTCCTCATTGAGTTTCTACTGCTGTACAACACAGTATCTCAGGTATATTAATTTCTCATTTTAGATTAAAATTCCATTCATTTCTCTGACCCAATGTTTTAATGGTTCATCTCAAGTTCAGCTTCTTTCTCTTTATTCATCTCGTTTCTACTTAATTCCTTTTTAAATTCCTTAATTTATTTTAGTTGCTTCCTAATAGCTTCAGTTAGTTAGATTAGGTGTAAATAAATTATTGTTTCACGAAAATGTTTGATTGAAGCTATGTATGATTCATTTCTGCATAGGCCCTTTGGACTCAGGAGTCTGGAGCTTAAAGCATAGTTTTGGGACAGCGTTTTTATTTTGTATTTCTCTTCCAAACTGACCTTTTTGTTTTTCCTGGAATGTTTTGGACTATGAAGCAGGGCTTGGAAGAATCTGCTGCGGCGAGGTAACGCTGTTTCTATTCTCATATAGGTCATCCTGTACTGTAGATTAGGCTCCATTTCTCTTTATAAATGTACGTAAAGCCTAAATTTGTTTGAGCTGGGGAATACTTTGGTTTCTTTCTTCATTATGACCAGTGATTGGGATTTATTAAAAAATGTACCAACTTTTTTCTTCAAGTTACCAAGCTGATATGGTTATTATCCTTATACTTAGGACACTTAAGCAGGAACCACATCATACTAATGAGGTACATTGTTCCAGAGAAAGAAGTAAGGCAGCCTGGAAGATCATAGAGGATGTAAGAGCAAAATGCTTTCTGTAGTTATACAGGGAGCGCCTTTTTGATTTAGTTGTTTTGTGTTGTGTCAGTAACAATGTTCTTCATGTGCACTCTGTAGTATTTGATGCCATTTTTGGAAGAAGAAGGGTTTCAGATTTCGACTAAGTGTAGGCTTCATCCAGACAATGATCTTTTCAGGGATCAGGAGCAGCACAAGATTTGTTTGGATGTAAATGAGTGGCGGTGTGGATATTGTAAGAAAAGCTTTCGTGCTGAAAACTTTCTTGATCAGCATTTTGACAACAGACACTACAATCTTCTAAGTGTTGTATGTGGACTCCTCTCCCTTGTCTTGATATGAACCTTAGATTCTCTTTGTTATTGCACTTGACACAATGATTGCTTTTATATAATTCCATGTTAGTCTTTATAGATATATAAATGTTTGCCTCTTTATGCTTGTCCTCTATCGTGTGCTCTGTTTCCTTCTGTAATGCTTCTATACTACATATCTATAAACAAAAATAACACAAAATGTTGTAGGCATTCCTATACTTGATTGATCAAGGATTTACTCTTATATAAGAAATAGAGAAACAGTATTTCTTCTCTTCTGATACTAAATTCTTTCCGTTTTGAATTTTTTGCTAAACATCTTTGTGTAAAGGGTGTAATTCTCTCTCTAATCTTCCTAAGCAAATTATAGTTGATGTTAATAATGCTAATAAAGCTTAAGTGATTTCAGAATCAAAGCAAGTGCTTGGCTGATTTATGTGGAGCATTGCATTGTGATTTTGTGATGAATTCCAAGTCGCTTAAGGCAAAGTGCAACCCTGCTGCTGTTGCAAGGAATCGCCATCTTTGTGAGGTTGATTCTGATTATTGTAATGGCATAATTTGTTGATTCCAGCATTTTGCCTCGTTTATATCGATTCTTTCTTGTGGACAGAGTCTTGCCGATAGCTGTTTTCCTATTACCCAGGGTCCATCAGCCAGCCGCCTTCATGGTATATAAATGTCTTTTTATATCCCAAAGAATGTTTCAATGGATGTTTATGTTTTTTTTTCTCTTATTGAAAAGCTGATACTGTTGTACTGACATGAAACCTTCACTTACTTAAAACAAGTTATGTTTATACTTTCTAATATCTCTTATTTTTGGTTGCATTCTCCTTTACTCGAAGAATTGTTTCTGCACCAATTTTGTGATGCTCATACTTGCTCTAGAAAAAACAAACCCTTCCCTAAAGGAGGCAAGGTAAGGTTCCTTTATCATAATTGGTTTAGTTTGGACTTGGGGTTGAAAGTTGAGCTTTGCATGGATGACTAGGGTTCACTTTTTATCATAAAATAGCAGAGATGCATAGATTAGGCACCTTGGAGGATATCAGGGAAAACTCCTATAAATTCAAAGATTGAGTAAATGTGACTAGTGAAAGTGTAAAACTACTATTTTAGAATGCCAAAATTTGGGAACTTCTTACTATCATTTATTCCTTGGATTTACTGCATTGCAAAATGATCTAGAAGTACTTTTAACTTATCTAATTTTTTTGTTGAATCAATATGGTTAATGTTTGTAATTGCTTATTTTTATTGGTTCAGAAGCAAACCAGTATACTCTACATGGCTACGTCAATACTGATTTTGATGTTGCTTCCTATTTTCTATCTTCTTTATTATTTGTATCAAAGGTAAAAACTCTAATTTCAAAATCTTCTGCTTGACTGGGTCCCTGCCAAAATATTTAAGATTTTTATTTATTTTGCAGAGAAATGAATAGGGGAACCCAAGTGCTAAGGCGAGTGTCACAAGTTGGACGGAAAACAAAACCGTCATAGTTGGTAAGCTTCTTTTGCTTTTGCTTTTGCTTTTGAACTTCTTGTAATGGGCTGCTGTGGTTGATTAATTGTTTCAGTGGCGCCTGCTTTGAATATTAACCTTTTGATTACGCAGTTCACTTTTCAGTCAGCGATAGTGTGGTGTATACGGAAACAGCATAAGTTTTTCAGGGTTTGATTGTGCATATCCTGTTTTTGACAGTTATTTCATTGGAGATATAAGTTTGCTTCAAAAGATACCCTGTAAATTATAAATAGTGGTTAAAAACAATTGGAGGCTGTTAGTCCTTTATTATCCAAGAAAAGAAGAAAAGACCTGTTGTTGTAGTCGTAGTTGTAGTTTATAGCTTATCATACTTCTATTTTAGTATTCCTTCATTATTTTTTCTTCTGGGTAACAAATTCTCACCATATTTTTACTGAAGTCATGAAAAAATAGACGCTCAAGGGTCATCCTGGTTTATCTTTTCCTTAAAAGTTGGTTGGATTATGCTTGACAGATAGTTGGGTTTGTAACCATTTTTAAACCTTATCTTCTTTGTCCCCTTTTTTTTCCTTCTTTTTTGGTTGCAGGAAGGGTGATGACAAAAAAAATGAAGATTTGAAATTTGCCCTTAAATCGGAAATTCCAAAAGAATGTGTTCACATTCTTGCCTGTCACCAGAAATCAGAACGCATAGCATTATGCCAATATCCTCTTGATAGTGACTCTAGTTTTTATGAGAAAGCAAAAGATGTACAAAAAATTCTCTTATCGAATGAGTGAACCAAACTTAGTCATTTAAGTCACATTGAGACTATTGTAGAGTATATTTTGCAAAGCATGGCCTATGGTAGATCTGTGAGGGTTATAAGAAGTTTTGAATAGAGAATGCTGTTTCGGAACTGCAGTTCAACAACCTAGGATTTTGGATGTTCTGTTACAAGCCATTTTTTGATCCGTATTCCTTTTGAGTCCAGATTGAGGTCAGAGAATGTAGGCAGAATTAATGTTTTCCATGAAGTAGATCACCTGCATTGCAGATATACCTTCTTATTTCGTATTTCAAGTTAGTGTTTTTCAAAAGAAAATGGGTTGCATCATCAGTCATGTGGAGGAATATGTATTAGGGGCTTATTTAAGCCATGTTTCAGATCAGATTACTTACTTTGTTACCATTGTTATTCTAGAAAATAAATTCAACCTGCTAACATACAATTGTGGTGGTCTTAATATCCTGTTATCAAAAAACAAAGCTTGATTCTTTAGAAAAACCATCATCATGGGATGCCAAAGGCAGCAGAAAAAACTATGATAAACTCTGTTAAGATATTTGTATTGTATGATACAAAAGTGAATTTGTGCCACAAGGTTGAAGCCCATTGCTCTCCAGTAATCGTTCAAGTCTCCCTTGTGATGCTAATGTCTGAATGCTTAGCCAGCTTTAGGCTAGCTGGGCTGGAAACAATCAAAAAGCTTCACATTTAAAAGTCTTTCATGTTCTAGGGAGCAACAACTCCAAAGGCAACAGATATCAATTCATTCGATAAGAGAAAGCCATCCGGATCACTGAGCCGAATATAAGCTAATCCTTTCCCGATGATGCCTTCATTCAAAAGCAAGGTATTATATTCATCTGCAGCTAAAACTCTTCTCTGCTCATTCAAGCAAAGCACATGCCCGCTTTCAACAAAAGGCTTGTAAGCCTCACAAAGAGAACATACGACTGAGCTACCAAATGCTCCTTGAAAAGACTTCAAATCTAGCCCTGTTGTAGTTCTGAGAGAGAGCATCACAACATCCGTGGCCAAGTCCCTGGTGTCTATCTCACTATTCCCAGTGTAATCCATCGTGCCATTCTCTAAATTCTGTACAAAATCAATGTACCCTCTCATTTTCTTGGGTCTTGAAAACCTCATTCCACATATATAACTAGCAGACCCTAGGCCAAAACCATAAAATGGCTTGTTTTTCCAGTACGTGAAGTTATGCTTACATTCAAATCCATCTTGGCAATAACTGCTTATTTCATAATGGTTGTAACCTGCATCCGAAAGCATTGTCGACGCCTTTCTGTAAAAATCAGCTGACTGGACATCTGAAGGTAAAGGAAACTCTCCTGGTTTGTACCTACAAAGACTTGAAAGTTCAGTTCTCAATTCACCATAAAGCTAAAAGCTGTTGCTTTCCCTAATAATACTTACAATGTTCCGAATTTTGTGCCTTGTTCAACTTGCAAATCATAAACAGACACGTGCTTAGGCTGAGCTTCAACGGTTAACCTCAAGCTCTCCTCCCACATTTGTTGAGTTTGGTGAGGAAGAGAAGAGATAAGATCCAAACTCCAATTCTCGACCCCAGATGAATTCACTATTTCAATAGCCTCGTAAACCTCGTTAACACCATGTGCTCTCCCACAAGCCTTTAACAACTCCTCTTGAAATGCTTGAACTCCCAATGACACTCTATTCACTCCCAACGCCATCAACTCCTCCATTTTCTTAGCATCAAAGGTTCCAGGATCCATTTCCATTGATATCTCAGCATCCGAACTCACCCCAAATTTCTCTCTCAACAAATCCAGAACCAATGAAACTAGCCTTGGTGGCACAAGAGACGGTGTTCCTCCCCCAAAAAGACGGTTTCGAGAGGTGGGTGGGACTTGAAATTTAATTTAGTGGCATTGATCTCCCGGCAAAGTAATTGGACGTAGTTTGATATACGGGGGTCGCCATCGTCGCCATCGTCGCCGTCGCCATAGGTTTGGGTTGAGGAAGAACCAAGAGCTACGACGGGAAGTCGCAGTAGTGGCAGCGTTTTCGACAGAAAGGGAGGTGAATGTAAGCCGAAGTTGGAGGGAGTTGGGGAGTGGTGAAGATGTTGGGTGAGGCATTCTGTTGAGCAGTTGGTGGAGTGGGAGTTAAAGTACAAGAAATGGGACGAGTCAGGTGCTTGGTGTAGCTGGGTTTGGCGGGAAAGGTTGAGAAAATCGGGATGAGGGTTGATTTCAGCATTACTTATTTCAGTCAGGAGTGGTGGTGAATAAGGATGACACTTCCACTTTATGCAGAAAAACACGATGAGTCTACTGCTAAAGCACCCCAGGGATACGGAGAAACTCAGTAAACAAAGGCCCGTTTCTAATTCTGAATGCTTTTGACGGGCTTCGAGTAGTGGCCATGTTGATGACAAAACAAAATGGGTTCTCGATTCAAGTTCGGTATTTTGTTTGCTATACTCGAGTTCCAGTGTATGGTCGGGAGTTTGAAGCCTCCATAATAATACCTCTAAACGCAGTGAAAACAAATCTGCTATAGAAAAGTGTCGCTCAAATTTGAAACCAGTTCTTGATCTTCTCTGAAAATAGTTTAAAACGAGAGAAGGATATAGATATGACTTCACGCTGGCAAACAATTGAACAAACTCACTCTACTCTCACAAATTAATGATTGATATAAGTTACCAGAATTTTACATGAATTCGTTGACGTACAAAATTGTGTTATAATCCAATACTAGCCTCGTCAAACAAGATATTTCACCATGTAAGGCCCTTCAAGCTCATAGCCCAATTTCCTATAGTAATGGCGGGTTCCCACACCAGATATAACAGCTATTTTTGTTGATCTATGCTCCCTGCGAGCAATACGCTCTGCTTCTTCCATCAAAAGTGTACCATAACCCTGCAAAGAAGGGCAAAATATTGGCAATTAGTCAAACTTTACTTGATGGCCTACCTGAAGACATGTCCAGACATTTTACACTGTGCTATAAAAAATTGAAAGTGTCAAACTGGAAGTGTATACCCCTCAAAATAGGCAACTTTGATTCAACTCTGTTCTTTCTAGGTTATATTTTAGTACTAAAGATTTAATCATTACCTGGTGTTGCAGCTTGTCAGCATCCCGGCCATGAACTGGAACAGCAGTTCCATACACATGAAGTTCACGGACAATAGAACATTTCCCCATTAGTTCAGGGCAAGTAGTGTTCCGGCCACACTTTCGCAGACGCAACAACCCAACAAGAATATCCTGTGTCCAAAACGAGATGGCATATTATGTTCCAGCAGAGACAGGCTGCTATGTAAAAAACATTGTACCAAGAAGTACAATCATTACCAAAAGAGATAAACAGTTTCAAATTAGCTAAGACATTTATAAAGTAATACAGGAAATACCATGAAATTAGGTCAGTTAACAAGAGGACTGAAATAGATATTTGCATGTGACAAAAAATCAACTGCAGACATATGCACACACATGCACCAACAGGAGAGATGGTTCTTGCAGTTACCTGGCGTGTATCTTCATATGACAGAAATGTTTCCCAACCTTCATTTGCTGTATAATCACGTCGTACAAGCTCAACTTCTTCAGGTTTAATTTTGTGGTGAATGTCCTGTATTCAAATAAACACGTCATTACACCCTCAAAAGGTTTTTATTTTTCAGCATGAACAGATTCTTGAGGAGCAAGATTGTGTCCCCTTACCTGGATTCCAGCTTCACGTGTTCGAACATCCCGACACTTCAAGCCCAAGTCATCCATACGAGCTAAAGCTAGTTCACGAAGATTTCCTTTCTCAACCCCCGAAGTAACCAGAGGCATAGGGATATCCCGCTGAACCCTATAAACACGTGTCCAAGGAGGTACCATGGCCAAGATCCTTGCCACAATGTCCACAAGCTGCTCAGGTGGGTAATTTCTATACCTGCAAAGGTAAATAACTATAATTACTACTTCCCGTTAAACCAGAAAGGAACCAGAAATCCAAAGAAAAATTATGATCTGTGGGATCTCCAACAATGAAGTATAGAAAACTATACCTGCCAGTTTTCCAAAGCTCATAGAGCCCAGTTCCGCGAATTACAAGGGTGGGATAAATTTTAAGCCCATCAGCTCGAAATAAAGGGCTCTCAAAAAACTCCTTAAAACTTTCCAAGTCTCTCTCGACACCAACATTAGGAAGATCAGGCATCATATGAGCAACAACCTACAGAAAAGGAATACAAAAATTTTTGGAATGAGAGGATGAAATTGAAAGAACATAAATGCATAAAACGCAAAAACTGATAATTAAGCCACATGCTCCGTTGCAATGAAATGTAATGAAAATATGGTTTGTGCTAGACAAACAGTACCAACGAAATGTCATTTAGAGTTCCAAAGATTTCTTGATTTGTTCAATGGCTGTGCTACACATGAATTGAAGAAGATAGGGGAGAGGAGGAAGACGAAGAGGAGAGAAGGGGTTGCTTATACAATATAGATATAACTAGAGGAAAAGTAAATGTCCTCTCACTCTAGACAATAATATGTATGGCAAAGCACTGGCATACCTTGAAACCAGCATCCTTTGCCAAGCAAAAACAATCAGCCACTGCAGCAACTGTGTGTCCCCTATTAGTGTCACGAGCTACATCCTCATATGTGCTTTGAACTCCAATCTCCAGTCGTGTACAACCATAAGAAAGCATTTGGCGCAAATGAGGGCCTAGGCAATAGTCTGGCCTCCTGTAGAATTAGAAACAGAGGAAGACAACATTCTATTAATCATTAGGTGTGATGATCAATGACACAAGACAAAATCAAAAAACTTTTATTGTGTGTTTCTGACACAGAAAACTGTAAGAAAAAGGCATATTTTCAACTCTGCAACACTAGAGTTACACAACTACTGTCACTGCTGCCTAATTTTGTGCAATGGCATAGCAAGTGGCCCCATACATAGTAATCCCACTTCTCGAAAATAAAAAAAGAATGAATAGCGATAAATGTCTATGTATCTACCAATTATACCAGTTTTGAGTCCCACTCACAAGAAAATAAGTTAAACTTGGCAATTCTCAAAACATATCTCAAAATGTTACAGGATAACTCACGTTTCAATTGTCATTCCAATGCACTTTACGGCACTATGCTCAGAGTAGGTAACTGCCTCTTCAACATTGGCAGAAGTGTGTCCTGATAAAGCAT